CAGGAAGCCTCTCCCGGTGATTAAATCAGAGCTTTCGTTCTTACTGGCCCTGTCAAGATTAAAGCACCACATTTTTCCTGATCTTTTGACAGGTTACCATAAATATTATATACAGGCCTTCCGACTGCTTCTGAGGTAGCTTTAAATAGTAATAGCAAAGCCATTAAAAATCCAGAGCCGCAGATCCATATATGGAAAAGTACAATTTTCTATTAGGATCGACTGAATTTTTATCGTAATGGGGGAGGACGTGGCCCCAGCCAACCTCGAGAATCCCGCGAAGGGCCAGGAGAGCGCAGCTGCCGCCATGACACCTCCTCTATCCCACAATGCTCAGCAACATTAGTTTCATCTATGCAGCATGTAAAAAGGAAACCAAGAGAAAGCACCAACCAGTTTTGCCTTAGAGAACGACTCAATTTTCGGGGTGTAAACTTCCACGAGTCAAAGCTCCCTTTGTTAGATACCACCCAGTTTATCTGCCCTACGGTGCTGCAAAAATTCCTTATGCATCACAGCCTGCGTTCAGCTGTTGAGAACCATAACATACAGCTGACCTGTGTGCATACGGATGTCCAGCAGGAACTCATTAGCATAATAGGCCACACCCAACAGCAGAAACTCATTAGCAAATTGGGCCACACCCCTGACAGCACAGCTCATTAGCACATTAGGCCGCACCCCCATGTTACCAGAAGTGTGGCTATCCAGCCACACCCACCTTTTGCTTGTTATTCTGTTTACCTTGTCTGTTGTCAAAACCCAGGGCCTTCTTTTGTAGCAGGAACTCCTTTGCATGTTAGGCCACACACCCCTAATGTAGCCAATCCTAATGAGTGTCTGCTGTTGGGTGTGGCCTATTATGCTAATGAGCTCCTGCTGGGCGTGGCCAACTCAGGAGCCAGCCGGAACTCCGTTCCTGTGCGTTCCTGCCCAAAAATACCCCTGCGGATGTCACATGCAGCAGCTTTCCCAGGACTCTACCAGCGCCCTGCTGTATCAGGTTAGTGATCCATCTATTCCAGAGTCTGACGGTGTTAAACTCGGGCATTTGACCAGCTGTACCTGCTGTATTTCTGCCTACTGCATTTTGACTTGATGTATTTCACTTGCTACCTGCACCCTGCCATTTGTTTAGCTTACTTTCTGTTCCCTTATCGCTTGCCCTCGCCTGCCATTGCATTCCTGAGGGGGGAGTGATTGTCTGTAGCAATTTAGGGAGGCTAGCTTTGGTAACTCTTCTGTGGGGCCTCAAGACATCTTTCACACGAGAAATGTCCTTTAAATGTGCCTGGCTAGATGTTGACTGTATATCTTTCATGGTCTTGGTAGCAATGCTGACGTGGATGGATGGAATTTTGGGGTTGTACCTATATGAGCTGCGGTGGCTCAAGTGGTTAAGACGCTGAACTGCAGGCTGTGGAAGGTCAGTAGTTCAGCGGTTCAAGACCCGGGTGCCGCAAGACAGGGTGAGCTCCTGTCTCTAGTTCCAGCTCCTGCCAACCTAGCAGTTCGAAAGCAAGAAATTGCAAGTAGATAAATAGGGACCACTTCGGTGGGAAGGTAACAGCGTTCCGTGCGCCTTGGTGTTCAGTCATGCCGGCCACATGACCACGGAAATGTCTTCGGACAGCGCTGGCTCTTCGGCTTTGAAACGGAGATGAGCACCGCAACCCTAGAGTCGGATTCGACTGGCTTTCGAGCAAGGGAACCTTTACCTTTTTACCTATATGTTGATTTCCCACCTTTGCACCTCAGTCCTAACAAAGAGTTTGAACCCACAGCATCTCAAATCTCTAAATAAACATTCACTAAAGAAAGTGCGTGTGGAGAGTGATGTGACTGGGAACCTGACACACAGTGGCCAACCAGTTCCTCTGGAGGGCCACCAACAGGGCACAGAGGCTGAGGCCTTCCCCTGCTAAGAACCTATGAAGAGCCTTGCTGGATCAGACCAGTGGTCCATCTAGTCCGGCATCCTGTCTCACACAGTGGCCAACCAGTTCCTCTGGAGGGCCACCAACAGGGCACAGAGGCCGAGGCCTTCTCCTGATGTTACTTCCTGTCTCTTGGATTCAGAGG